TTTTTTTGGCATGCAGGCAAATACTTTATTTCAATAGTGGCATATTTATTTTTATGGATAGCTTCTATTTTTGGCAAGGAATGCTAATTTTCCATTTATGGTTATAATGTAATGTTTTATTTTGAAAACAAAATGACTTAGGGAACAAAATAAGTTGATTTAAAAATATGTATTAAATACATATTTAGTATATACAAGTAGACTACAGAAATGGCAAAAGGTAGACTGAGGTTGAAGAAGCATCACCTTAAACTAAGCCCACTCAGGACTAAGTCTTATCTGCCCCAAATCAACACCTCTAGAAAAGTGGTCCCTATCTTTCCTTGTGTCAGTTCTGAACACTGGGGGTAGGCATGCTTCTCATGTTTAGTTTCACAGAATATCTGTGTTTTCAGGGCACCGCCATATGCCAAAATGTCAGGGGAGGGGTGCTCAACTGGATTAAGAAGGCAGGGTCCACAGAACAGCTGTTTTCATGCTACTAACCCAATTGTTCTCTGCTTCTTAGTTGCCACAGTCTAAATATTCTTTAATGCATTGCCTTTTTCAGCCATTGCTCAAGAGGTAGGATAGTATACCAGTTTTTATAGTGGGAAAAATTGGGAGACTTAATAATTTGCTCCATATCTTGGTGGCCAAGCTTTCCAGCCCTGGTTAGGCTTCAGGACACTTCTCCCAGAGCTGTGCTGCCCCAGCCTTCAGGAATGTGAGCATGGGAGTAGTACAGAAAGGAAGTAGTACAGGAAGGAAGTAGTGCAGGAAGGAGGCAGTACAGGAAGGAAGTAGTGAAGGAAGAAAGAAGTACAGGAAGGAAGTAGTACAGGAAGTAAGACACACTGGGAGGAAGTAGTGCAGGAAGGAATAAATACAGGAAGTCATACAGGAAGGAAGTAGTGCTGGAAAAGTGGTTGTAAGCCGTTTAACTTGCTTTTTTTCCCCATCTGAACTGTGACCAGATTATCAATTTGTCTTGTAAAAACACTCCGTTTAGGAAAAGCAATGTAAAAGTAAAAATTAGTATTTATTGTGTGTACTCAGTGCTTTGCATACATCATTTCTTTAATCCTGTAGGTAATATGTTCTCTGGGAGGTGAAAATGTCTATATGATTAGATTAACAGGTTACCTATCCAAATCTAAGATCTCCCTCCTCTCTCTTCCTTTCCCCAGAACCCATACGTATTTCTATTAATTGGTAGAAACAATTAATAGATTTTTGTCACTTGGCCATTGTGGGCTCTGACGCCCTCTAGTGACAGAAAAATTCTTTGCTAGAAGAAGTAATGTCCCTAGATAGCAGTCTACAGAATTGTTTAGGCAATTATCCTTACTTGAACTTGAAACTAGAATAGCTAATTTGTAACAATTCACTTTTGTAAAAAAAAAAAAAAAAAAAAAAAAAAAAAAAAAAAATTATTACACTGATCAAGGTTCTGATAATTTATCAGTTAAGATTTTTTCAGTTGTGAGAATCTGGCTTAAGTAAACACTGAGAATTTGTAGAGTTGGGTAACTATGGGTGGTCCAGGGTTCAATTAAATACATCCAGAACTTGGATGGCTCTACCAACCTTTATCTCTCAGCATGATTTCCTCTCAGTGTGGCTTCCTCTCAGCATGAGTTGACTGCTTTCAGCTCTGGCAGGGCCACAGCTCCCTTCACAACCAACCACATCAGTTTCACATCTCACATATTTCTACTTCAAATCCAATGGAAAAGAAAGCATTTGTGTCCAAGTTTTTTCAGTAAAAGTTCCAAGATCTACTCCAACTGAATGTGATGTGCTGATTGGCTTAAGCCAAGTCACATTTCCCACCCACTACCTTCTACTACCTACATCTATACCCAAGCCTTGGGATTGCTGACAATGCCACTGTGTTGGTTAATTTTATGTATCAAATTAGCTAGCCAATGGTACTCAATCATTTAGTCAAACACTGTGTTAGATGTTTCTGTAAAGCTATATTTTGGATGGGATTAACATTTAAATCATTACACTTTGAGTAAAACATTTGCCTTCTATAATGTCAATGGGCCTTATCCAGTTAGTTGAAGGCCAAAAAAAAAAGAAAAGAAAAAAAGAAAAAGACTGACTTCTTTTTCAGTGAGAGTGAGAATTATGCCAGCAGACTGCCTTTGCACTTAAACTGTAACTCTTTCATGGGTCTCCAGCCTCTTGGCCAATGCTAAAGTTTTGGACTTGCCAGCCTCTATAATCATGTGAGCCAACGCCTATCTATGTATCTATCTATTTATATCTATCTATCTATCTATCCTCTATCTTTCTATTCATTTTCTTGGTTCTGTTTCTGTAAAGAACTCTGACTGAAAAAAACTGCTCACATCAAATAGTTAAGAAGAAAGGAGAGGAACAGTTTTTCTAAAGGCAACTTGGAAGTACTATTAGCAGGAGGAAGAAGGAGAAAGGCAGGATAAACAATCATGGATATCCACTATAGTTGGGAGTTATTAAAATCAACTTATTCCTATTTAGTAAAAGCAATTTGGTTGACAATAATTTTTTAAACATTAGGTCCAAAGGGGAAAGGAAAAAAAGTCTTAATGGTAAAAAGATGTAGACGATTTTGTTTGTTTGTTTTGTTTTTAACCCTCCCAGTTTTTTACATAGTCAGATATTTGTTTAAATGTTATTCAGAATATTCAGAAACCAAGGTATCTTTTGAGTTGAAGAAACAAGCTTTAACTTATATGGTATGGTTTGAATAAGGATGGTTGTCTAAAATATCTCTAACATCTGGTAGAGTGCCTCAAATTCATTATTAAAATTTTATTTCTTTGCCCTTGAAGGCCTGAGGTCTCTCAGAAATATGCTGGTAAAATAAAATAACCTTTAGAGATGCCCAAATTGTTTTCTCCAGAATACCAGCATTCATTAGGTGTTCATTCAATAGATTCTTCAAAGAGTCCCATAGACAAAGAAGTTTGGGGAACAGTATCATTACACATGCCCACCCCCTTGATGATAGCATATTAAAGGCCCTGAGAAGTTTTGAGTTAGGAAACTTTTCAAAATAAATTAACTCAGAATTTTCTAAGATTATTTGACCATGGAACATATCTCTCCCCACAAAGCACCGATTTCTATCTCACTGAACTTGAGGATAATTAGCTGTACATGGGTGGGAGTAGGGGAAATGAGCATGGCATAGAAAGAGCAGGGCCTTGGGAGCAAGAATATCTAAGTTTAATTCCTGACTCTGCTATTTATTAACTAACCAACTTTGCCAGTGTTGCTTAAGATTTTTTGGCCACTTTTTTTTTTTTGGTAAAGTAAATTTAATAATCAATCACCTCATGGGGCTATAATGATAAGTATTAAGTAAGGAAGATCAGTATGTGTGAGTTACTGGCTTATAATTCACACTCAAGAGATACTGATTTTGTCAATTGTCCTTTCTCCTTTTTTTCTCTCTTCCTTTCTTCCATTCCTTCTTCCCTTACCTCTCCTTTCCTTCCCTCCCACCTCTTTTCCTTCCCTTTTTTTAAAATAATTTTTTTAAATTTAAATGATCTTTCTACTTTGGAATAGTTTTAGGATTTCAGAAAAGTTGCAAAGATAATACAGAGAATGCCCATATACCATCCTCCCTATCCCACTTTTTTATCTATTAGATGCTCACACTGTGTGCACAAGGCTGGCATACCCAGGGTCCTCCTCGTGGCACTAACAGTCTACTGAAAGGTGGGACAGAGACAAGCCAATCAACACCTACAAGACCGGAGGTAAGTGCAGTGACAGACGATGCAAAACGCAGTGTGATGGAAAGCACTCAGGAGGGTAACCTAACCTAGATTTGAGGGCCTGAACAGGCTCCAGAACAAAATATCAACTAAGAGGAAGCCTGAAGGATGAATAGCAGGCCAAGCAGCAAAGGGTTACGAATGTGTTATTAATGGGTTGAATCTAATTGGGAAGGGAAAGAGGCAGCAGAGTGAGGTGCAGAGCTTGCTGGAGGAGGCCAAAGGAATACTGAAGCCTTCCGTGTGTCCAGTCTGGAACTGCTTCCAAATTCAGGTTCAGTAATGATGTCATTATCTAAACATACCTTCTATAAAATTCATGCAAAACCACCTAAGAGCTATCTACTTTTCCAGAACAATAGTGACTTTGAACAGTGTTCACCAGAGCACTAACTAATTACAAGATTTTTTTTTTTTTTTTAAGGAAATTGGCCAGGAAATAGTGAGTAATGAAGGACAGGAAGTAATCGTGACTGTTTAATATAGTTGGGGCTGTGCGATTTGCCTTAAGTTGTTAGCTTGTTTTCCTCTTGAGAAATAAAGACTAAGGGGCCCTCCCTTTTCAAAACCCTGTGGTGCAATATCTGTACTTTTTCATATGGTTAATTGTCCATCCATACACTATTCAGGAACATCCGCGAGCCTCTCGTGTTGCAGCCACAACATGGGCAGCCCAGTCAAATGCCCTGTAAGTCTTCCTGTGTTTGACTCCAGCAATTAGCCAAGGCTCCTGCACCCAGGGAGGACCTGTGCGCTCTGAGCTCCATTCTCCTTCAAGACCTCCCCAACCTTCCCAGGTTGAACTATAGCGGAAGCCTTTATTTTCAGCAAACTGGCACAACAACAGAAAACCAAACACCGCATGTTCTCACTCCTAAGTGGGAGTTGAACAATGAGAACACATGGACACAGTGGGGGGGGGGGAACATCACACACCGGGGTCTGTCATGGGGTGGGGGGGTGGTTAGGGGAGGGATAGCAAGGAGTAGGGAGATTGGGGAGGGGTAACATTAGCAGAAATACTTAATGTAGATAATGGGGATAAATGCAGCAAACCACCCTGGCACGTGTATACCAAAGTAACAAACCTGCACGATCTGCACATGTACCCCAGAACTTAAAGCATAATAAAAATAGAAATAAAAAAGAAAAGGCAGTAGGCAGGCTCTCAGGGTCCTCACCTAAATTGAGCATGCCAGTCACTGCGGGAACGCCCCGGGACGGGGAATGCCCATTTGTGCAACAAACCCTGACTCGTTTCTCATCCTGGCTTCTCCCCCTCCCTACCCCTCGTAGGCCAAGTTGCTGAATCAAGGGAGCCCTCCCCAAACCGGGCGTTCCCCAGCGAGGCTTCCTTCTCATCCTCCCGACCACGACCACTGGGGCTTTTCGTGAGCTCGGCTCTGATCTCGCGGAAGAGTGACTTACAGGTGTTCAGAGACGCTTCTGGGGAGTCAGGGAAGCGGTTTGCGAGTGACTTGGCTGGGCGCCGGGGGCGGGCACCAGCACTGAACACACCCCGAGGCCAGCCCTGGCCTGCGGGTTGGTGACCGGCTCGGCTCGGTGCGGAGTTGGAGAGGCGCTTTCACTTCGGGGAACTGCTCCACAACCATGCTGGGCCTCTGGACCCTCCTAACTCTGGTGAGCCCTCTCCAGCCCGGGTGGAGGCTTACCCGGTCGCAGTCCCGGGGACAGGCAAAGAGTGGGGCAGGTGCGGGACGCGTTGGGGCGTCTGGGAGCGGCGGGCTGGGCGGGAGGGTCGGACAGACCGGCTTCCCGGGGCTGCCAGGACCTTCCTCGGCTGGTGCTCTGCGCGCTGGAGGACCCGCTTTTCTTGGGCCTGGACGTGAAGTGCTGACCCCGCGGGGCAGGCGGGGCAGCTCCGGCGCTCCTCGGAGACCACTGTGCTCCACGTAGAGGTGGGCATGGGGGGCGGACAGGAACTGAAGCGGGAGTTTGGGAAGCTTTAGGGTGGCTGGACGGGGACCCTGCCCGGAAAGAGGAGCGCAACCCCAGGCAAGCCCTGGCAAGCCAAGCCGTAGGTCTGCTCCGGCCCGCGAGGGTGGGTGAGTGCGCGCCGCCCGGCGGGGGCGGGGAGAGAACCTGCAGCCTTCAGAGCAGATATTGCTCATTTTCTGGCAGTTCTCAGACTTAGAAAATAAGTCAGCCTCGAGGCAGTGGTTAAACCTGAGGGCTCGGAAGAACCGCACGTTTCTTTCTCAAAAAAGTTATATGGGGGCTGAATGAGCTTCTGGAGGCTTGTTTATCTTTTTTATTGTCACCTAGAAAAAGAAACCGTCTTGTTTCCCTTCTGGGAATTCCTGTCCTTAAGACGTAGGTCGCTGCCTGAGTGGTTTTATTTTGTTTTGTTTTTCTGTCCTTCTCTTTCTTATTTTCCCTTGCTTGACCTGCATTCCCATGGTAGTTTCTGCTTGGTCTCCCGCTGGAGTTGGTGGTACCAGTTCCCACCATACAGAACCCGGGGACAGTTATTGGCCAAGAAACTTGAGCAGCCTGTTTTGGAAAGTCCCTCGCTCAGAAATGGCAGCTTGCAGATGGCTAATCGACGGGACATGGATCCAGGAGTTTCACTGGAGTTCCGAAGCCTCTGAGAGTCCATGTATTTTTATTTATTGGGCCCCAACAAGTGTCAGGTATAGCGAGAGAAGTGTTTACAAATGTTTACAAATGTGGTCTCAGTGGATTCTCACGAGAACCATGTAGTGGGGAAGGTGACCACATCCCCATTTTACAGATGGCAAAATGAGGTTCAGAGAGCGTCAGTAACTCAGCCAAGATCGCACAGCTAGTAAATGGCAGATCTGGGATTGACCTCAGATCTAATTCCAAAACTCAGGCTGTTTGCTGATTGCATCTACTATCCAGATTACACCAAGAGACGAAAGAAAAAGGCTGAGATGTCTGCATCTATTTTATGATTAGAAAAAAAAAAAAATCCTTCTGTTCCTTGCAGAAATAATGTACACTGTTTGGGCTTTTTTAGAAACTTCCTTGGAGAAAATTTATGAATCAAGATTGATATACCATTTATTTAACCTCAGACCACGCCCTTCTCTCCCTTATTGTTAACCACTGCACTGCACGACTGCAGTGTTGGCTGTTTTGAAAATCTCTTAGTTCTTTTTTTTTTTTTTTTTTTGAAACGGAGTTTCGCTCTTGTTACCCAGGCTGGAGTGCAATAGCGCGATCTCGGCTCACCGCAACCTCCACCTCCTGGGTTCAGGCAATTCTCCTGCCTCAGCCTCCTGAGGAGCTGGGATTACAGGCACGCGCCACCATGCCCAGCTAATTTTTTGTATTTTTAGTAGAGACGGGGTTTCACCATGTTGACCAGGATGGTCTCGATCTCTTGTCTTCATGATCCACCCGCCTCAGCCTCCCAAAGTGCTGGGATTACAGGCGTGAGCCACCGCGCCCAGCCTGGTGAAAATCTCTTAGTTCTTGGACAGCAGTATTAGAAAAGCGTAAGAAAATCTTCAAAACCTGGAGCTCTGCTGGTTGGACTTTTGTACTGATAGCACCTTTACCGGAGGCTGCATGTTTAAAACCCGAAGAAAACTTTGCTTTTCTGAACGAATACACACAAACACACACACACACACACACAAACACACACACAGAGGCATATATAAACATACATTTATGTATATATAGATATTATAATACCCATAAGTTAGGTATAATTTATAATATTTGTATAAGATATATGGCCTAGGAAGTTAAGGTTTACTAAATAAAATTTATAAATGCAGATGAGTCAAATACAGAAATCAGACACAACTCTATCAACCTAAGTAATCCTTTTGTTTACGTTTTGCAGCCTATCTTCCACTTCTCTCCTCTAATATGACTCTTTTAAATTTAGTTACAGAGAAATTGGTTTTGCACCCACGACATGCCTAACATTAGGCCTTTATTCTTAAAGTTTCGTGACTCTTGTGTCACCTCATGTGTCTCCAGAAAATGCTTATGCCTTCACACTTTGTGCTTTCTTAGTAGTAGTGATAAATAAAATAAATAAAATGAAGGCAAAGTGTTAATTACTTGGAACAAAGAAACAAATTTTGCTTAATTCTATTAATGGGCTGGACTTACATGGTGGGTAACTGTGTTCTGCTTTTCCTGTCTTACCCTAGTCCTCTGAAAAACCCCCATCCTTAACCCCTTTTGCTCCTCTTTCTCTTTCCTTCTCTAACCTTCCTGGTGTGTGTTTTTCTCTGACACTTAGAATAAAAAAGTTTGAAATTCCAAAACTGGCAAATTTCTAAAGGAGACAGAAAAGAGTCAAACTTACTTTACAAAGTTGTTGGAGAAATAGCTGTGGGTAGGTTTTTTTTAAATTGTACATGACCCTTACAGGTTCTGTCTTGTATTACTTAGGACATTGGCCAGGCAATCACTGGACAGCCAGTTTGCTCTCCTTTACATTTTTTAGAATGGTTATCTTATGGTCAAAGGAAAGGAGAAGGCCTTTGGAAAATAAAGCAGTGTATTTACAAGTAATCATACAGAATAGTTTTGTGGGGAAAATAAAGAATGGTTATTTAATTTTTAATTTCATCATTTTTCTTAAACCAACCCAAGACAAACTATTCAACCATTTTCGTAGTTTAATTTGTCATGTAATAATTTTTCTTAAGCCAACCTAATGAACATGAATTGGACTGTTTATGTTCATTTTTAAATGGGCTCTACTTACATCACAAAAGACTTGAGAAGTCTTATATGTAATAAAATGATAAAATGTAAATTAAGACATTTGCAACCACAATGGAAAAACACAAATGTATAAATGACGGCAAGATTTGCAAGCAAATGTAATTGATAAATGGAGACCATCAGCAACCCCACCATCAGCTACAGTAAGACGAATGAAAAATCCTCTAACGTTCATGCCTGAAATAGTTACCACCCTTAGCAGCAAATTAGAGTTTAATTTGGAAAAAAAAAAATATTTATTGCACTGAGTTCAGAGAGGGAAAAAGATGAAATAATTAGAGACAAAAAAAAAAAAAACCACCCTGGAATTTGGACATTGTCTCTGAGTAACCTCTTTGAGGTACTGGACAAGTAATTTCCTTCTTAATACTCTGATATTGACATAGAAGTGTCAGTGTTTCAAAGGAACCTCTTTGAAGGCTACTAGAATGCTTTAGGGATACCAGATTACTACATTAAAACTGCCAGTTTGAGAGAATAACTGTTTCCTAAGAGATGGTCTGAAACCTAAGTAAGGAAATCCCCCCCTTGAAAGCCCCTGGTAAGTTAATTGCTGTTGTTGAATTATCTTAGGTCCCAAAAGTCCCTTGATGAGCACATCTTTTGTAATAGGTACTAAAGACTACTCACTTATCATGAAAAATAAAATAACACAATTTAAAACTTGAAATTGATAAAAAGCAACTTGAAACCAAATTTAGGACAGTGAACCCATCCCCTTCTTCTTTTTCAATAGGTAAATATAGAAAAAATGACATATAATGTGTAACAAAAAGCAAACATTTAAAAACTACATTTACACATTATCTCACAGTACTAATGTAAAAAATTTTAATTTTACTTATAGCGTCCTAGCCTTGTCTACACATAGACACAATTGCTTATTTAACTTGAGCTACATATAATCTGCTTTTTGTTCCTTTGCATTTACAAAAACCTTTTTCTATTTCTGCATAATTTTTATCTCATATTTTTATTGGATACATTATAGAGAGGGCATTTATTAAATGAGCTGGGAGTACTATAATTTTTATCATTTAATTTGTTTATTACTTATTTTTATAATTTACTATTAGAAAAAAGCTTTTCTTAAATGTACTGGGATATATATGGTTTTTCTTATTACTAAAAAATTACTTACAGAACTTATATATGAAAATTGAAAATTGTAGTACTTATGATGAAAAATAATATAATTAGATAATTTAAAACTTGAAATTGATAAAAATCTACATAATTTTGTAAGTTGTACCTTAAGGTACAATATTGCAAGAACCTTAGTGTAGTTTTCTATTCTTTTTGCTATGTGTGTGTGTGTGTGTGTGTGTGTGTGTGTATATATATATATATATATATATATATATATATTCACAAAAGTAGAAAAATAACATTTAACTAATAAATCTTCATTTTCTGGAAAATCCTTGCTTTAAAAAAACAGTCTTTAGCTTTTTATATAGTTAGACCTCTAACACCGATTAAATATCTTCAATTCAGTCTCAAGCAGGAACAAATCATTCAGTCCCCTTGCCTACCCTTATTGTTTTTCAAGTGACAGTGTGAGTAGTAAAGCCCAAATTAGAGAGCCCAAATCTGACTTTTGTAAGATTGGTAACTTCACCTTCCCCAGAAGGAAATGAGGTGATTCTTCCCTTTGATCACAACTGCTTTCTTGATTTGAAGTAAACTTGTACAACCCAGTCATCCCCATCTATAGGCATTTAGAAATGGCAATCATAGTTATATAGGACAACGGACCTGAGTCCCACTAAGTGGAAGCAATAGTGAATTTAGTATAAGATTATACCTTTAGGCTGGGCAAGTGACTCGCACCTGTCACCCAGCACTTTGGGAGACCCATGGTGGGTGGATCGTGGATCACTTGAGGTTAGGAGTTTGAG